TTTTTTTWWTKKTWWTTTWRACTGAAAATATTCCTTGCTTTCCTTCCCTTCTGTGAGAAGCAGTCCCAAGGTCTCGGTGCTGTGGGAGAATGTGCATTTCTGACGGTGTCTGATCTGCAGGATTGTCTTTCCCTGCTTCCTTATCTGCCTGTTTTCCTCTCCCTTCCTTCTGCCTCTGGGAATTTTTTGAAGATAGTTTATCATAATGTTTTTTCCTCCTCCCTGTGCTGTCCCTGTCCTGCCTAAACCTGAGTTTGGGATGTGCAGTTTAGGGCATGTGGAACACAGGATGCATATTCCCTGCTACAACAAAAATCAGGATTTGGGGATGAGATGAGCCCAGCTGCAAATATTGACATGGGAGCTAAAGCATGATTTTTTTTTTAATATTTTTTTTTCCTCCCTGCTGTGGTACAGTCTGTCCTCTCTGGAAGTCATTCAAATGGCTGCCTGGGATTTGGAAAAAAAAAAAAAAAAGAGATTCTGTTGGGTTTTTTGTGATATTTAACAAATAGGACTTGCAATTCTGTGGGGAGGGGCGTTTGACTCAGAAGAGTTTATTTCTGTCTCTCCTCTCCCCCTAGAAGGAGTCACAGACAACTCTGTGAGGAAGATGGAGAGGAGGAATGATGAGCAATCCATCCAGGATGCCCGAGCTCGGTACCTCGAGAGGAAACAGCAGAGAGCTCAGGGTCTGAGTGATGTGGAGAAGGAAACAGGGTAACTCTGGGGAGGCACTTTGTGCAGCTCTGGGTACATTGACAAAACGCCAAATGACTGCAGGAGGGCAGGGAAACTGCTGCTTTGTGATCATTCTGAGTGCCAAAGAGGACAAATGCAGCTTTTCCCTTCGCTGCATCCAGCAGGGAAACCTTTCCCAAGCTGGATTGTGTTTGCTGCAGGTCAGTGGCAACGGTTTAGTGGCTGTGGCTAAAGCCCTGATACCAAGTGTGGTGCCAATTCTCTGGCATTTCTTTGACTTAGAAACRTCTCAGCACCGTTATAAATAAAAWTTTCTTATAGGGGTGGTTGGGGTTWATTTTTTTAAGGAGCAGAACCGTAACTTTTTACCCTTTTTATTGTGATGGTGGTCACGCAGTCTTCATGCTCAGGAAAATGTGCAGGAAGGGCTCTTTGAAGGCTTTTTGGATTAGGTGACTGTTATTTTCAGAATTAGATGGATTTTGATCTCAAAAATGGCAATTCCAAATCTATAGGAAGAATACAAGAGGATATAAAAGCTTTTTTTCCTTAAGCATCGAAAAGAGCAAGGAACTGTGGTGCTTTGTCATCATAAATGTTTGCTTCCTTCTGAGTAAAGCAATAATCCTATTTTATCACCATAACAATCCTAAAACGCTCCAGGGCTCTAGTGTGGAGTTGGTGTAAGAATTTCCAAATAATTGGAAGGATTTGCTGTTGATTTTCCTGCCTCAGCTGTGTGCTCTGTGTCACCCTGGTCACTGGTTCAAGTGGTGCTGTGGCCTGAATAAAACATTCACYATCCCACCTCTTCCTCACCTTATACTGGCCAGGATCTCCAAAATCTCAGGATTCTTTTTTTTTTTTTAATATGACAATATTATTGCTCATAAAGAAAATTGTGGTAATTATTCCTCTTTCTGTGATGGATGGGAAAAGGTTTTGTTCTTTCACGCTGCTGCTCAGGCTCTGCTTTGGAACAGCAGCACTTGGGTTTGACTCAT